AAGTAAATAAGTTTACTTGGTAAGATTTCTATACATGATAGAAATAGTGGAAGCTAATGATACTTGAAAGGTTAAAGGTCATGAAATTATAAAATCTAATAAATAAGATCTATGAATAAAGACTAATTTAATGGGATGCATAAGGATCCATAATTCATGAGATGAATCCATTAAATACAAACCATTAGTGGAATGTATATTAATGCATTACTCATATAAGATGAGTTTACTAAATAATCCAACATGAATGATTAGATAATAATCTTTATTTAATGTAATAAATTCAAAATAGTTGAATACATTGAATAAGATAAACATATTTGGTGCACATCATAAGGTTAGTGGGAGTAAGATAAGTTACTCATTAAAAGTGTATAAGATACATTTTTCAATCTAATAAAAACAAAATGGGACTAAAGAGTTAGCGCCTAAAAGGGGACTCAACAAAAGAATTTAAGATGACATGTTAAAGGAGTTTAACATAGAGAGAATCCTAAATGTTAAAACTAACATAAAGTCATAATTGAGCAGTTGTATTGGACTGATTCCAAAACAAGAGATAACTAGATTATATCTATAATCAGATACAAACCTTTTGTCTAAACTACCAGAGAAGAGATATTTGGATCATTGGTTTAATGAACCAATAAATGATTCCGAGTTGTTTAATAACAACAAAAGCCATAATAATGGAATCAAGGTCTCGTTGTGATCTAAAGTAGTATTTTGATTATAGTAATGGAGATTGTGAACATGTAAATTAATATATTCCTAAATATTGCAATTTGAGTTATCCTAGTAAAGACATAGTTGCTAAATGAAAAAGTTCGATATTGGATACATTAGCAATTTACTCAAGTGTAAGTGAAAGATTGTTGGTATATGCCCTTGAGCCAATTAGATTGGTCAATGAATATATATTATTATTAATGCATATTTAATCATATAACTAATGTGATAAAGGTTTTCCTTCATGTCAATGCAATAATGAGTTATTAAGTACTAATTAGATGAAGCCCATGGAACATATAGGCCTTGCAAAAGAATTGTAAAGTTGTTACAATTATGAAATCATTATGCATTAAAGCCATGTTCCTAAAATTTTCCATGGTAGCTGTATTGTTAAGACAGGGCATTAACAATGCTCAAACACTGGTACATGTTAAGCCTCCTTACTTGAAAAGTAAGCAATCAATTTCATAGATTGAAGTATATGGGATACTTGAAGATAATATAAGTGTTTGTTAAAGAACAAGTTCACTGAACGTGACCCACTATGAGAACTCTATTTAGTATTTCACTCAAGTGTCTATGGAATATGCTCTCATACGATAGTCGTGCAATTAGTCCTTGGACTTAAAACATCAAGTCATCTTATATGGGGAATGGCATACTTTGATTTTACCCTTACGGATTTTGAGGTAACCAGATGCCTAAACATAGTGTTTTTGAGTATGCCATAAAGCACGTGAAGATAAATGAGTGATCAAGAGAGAATTCATCACCCCAAGTGATATGAGAGGATGTATTTCACTTGTTCTCAATTATTAATTAACTTGTATAAAGTCTTTGGCCAAAGCATGATGAATTTAAAGAAAGTTTTCTAAATTCATGAAGTTAGTCATGAATTATAAGAACTAATATGGAATGTCATAAGTAGACACCAAGCAATGTTTAGTGACATATTCGAGATATTTGATAAAAAGATCATATTATACTTAAAGGCTTACATTGAAGAGCTTTGTCAAATTTTTTAATTAACTTTCTAATATTTGAGTGGTCATGATGTAGTATTAGATACCGCTCATAATCTATAAATATAAATCAATTATCAAATTAATATTTGATTCGAATTTATATTTATTACCAACATATTAGTAGCTTAATGAGTTACATATATTAAGTGGCATGATTGAGATTAAATAAGAATAATTAATTAAGTTAAATTTAATTAAAAAATATCAAAATAAAGTGAGAAATTAAATAAGTTCACAGAGACTTAATTAAATTAAAATACAACTGTTGTATTTTAAATTACAACTTAATTTGATTATATAAATATATTATAATAACAAACTAAAACTTTAAAATTTCAACTACTTCTAAACCATTTCATAAAATAAGAAAAAAAATATTTTTCTTTATCTTACAAAAAAAAATTCAACAAGAACTTCTGATCTTTTTTTTAAAAAAACATACCTTATTAGCACAAATAAAAATCTTATTTTTGGAAAGATCATATTTGATCACTGTATATATTACTATTGAAGACCAAACCTTGAATGATTGAAGATTTAACAAATCTTAAAAGTGAAACAAAAATTTTAAATTTAATTGACATTTAATTACGACATTTAGAACAAAGTATGTAACAAATTTATGATTGTTCATAATTAATTTAAAAATTACATAAAAACATAAATATTGACCTTATAAAATTCAACTTTCTCAAATTAAATGTTAATTTATTATTTCACTACGTTATATTTTTTTAATTAATTATTTATTTTCATATTTGAACATAAACTCGAATCCCAACACAAACTACTAAACTTACAAATTCCTTATTTATAGAGCTGTCACAATCTCCTACTGCAATTGTTCATAAAATCCCCCCCACCCTATTAACACGACAATCGGAAACTGTAGTTCAAACAATACAGTAAAATTTTAATTGCATGCTTTTAGTTGCCCATTATCAATAAAACAAGAAAAATATGGCGGAAATATTGCTGCATGAAAATGTGGATCATGATGATAGGTCTATGGGGTTGTGAGCTTCAATATCTACGTGCCGAATACCAGGAACAAGTTCTTGGATCTCCTTTTCTAGCCGATCAACTTCACTTCCTAGAGCGGTGACTACTTCCTCACCTGCAAAAGAAACTCCTTTCTTAGAAGCAGTAAAGTAATTCAACGTATTTGCTAGTTCATCGACTTGCATACCATAGTTTGACATGATCTTTAGCAATGCAGAATCATCTGTCTCCTTTGCAGCTTCTCGAAACTGTGTACAACCAAATTCCAGTTGTCAATTGCATATTGAAGCACAAAATATCAGGATAAACAGCTTGGCAGAGTTAAAAAGTTAAGAGGCTTCCTGGTTTAGTGCTCTTCCCTGGCAATACTGCCCACTTCCAAGTAATATATGACTTTCTTTTGAGAAGAAATAAAATCACTAAAAGGCACTAAGGAGTTGCCATCTCAAGAACAAGGCAAACATTTAGAAAACAACCCAACTAATGTGTAACTTATGCACGCACAAGCAAAAAGTGGCGTGAAGTTATTACAACAGTAAAACTTCAAACCATAAAACAAAATAGTTCTTAGCATATTGACATTAAAAGATAATAAAAAAAGATGATATTCACAATTATAAGTGAAAATTATGTCATAATTTAAGTTTAATATGTTCACAAGTACAACATTTCATTTCATACAAGTTCATATACAAAAGGAGTTGCACTTTAATAATTGATTTTAAAAGTTTATGCAACAATACAAACGCAAGGAAAAACTTCATGCAGACAAGACAAACAGGCCAATCAGTTTTAATGGGCCACTACTAATATTTCTACATAGATAACGGCAGAAACAAATGAACAAGCAATGTCTTGAAGATGAAAAAAGAAATTGGAGACTGAAACATTAACCTGTCTCGCCCACTCTTCACGTCCAGTTCTGTGAAGATAATTTTGCACAACCACCACTCCATTGAAATCTGTAGCATACAACTAGTCACCATCAACTTACATTGTCACAGCAATACAAATAAATGCCAAAACGTTTCAACCTGACAAATGCCAAAGATTTATTTTGGCAGGCAAGATCTAGCATTAATTCTGCGCTAAAAACCTAATGTCCACGATTTATTTGGGTACAAAGATACTTATCCTGGCCTACTGCTCATAAATCCCAGAATATGGACATCCGTATGAACTTTTTTTATAATTCTAGCAAAAAGAACAACACAGCCATGTTCATCACTTATTAGTACAATAAAGGCGTCATTCATAAGATGGATACAAAATGCATCTCTTGCTTTCCATACTTGTATCGCACAAGATGAAGGAAATTTGCCTAAAATATTGAAATGCAAAATGATATTAAGAAAACTAATGCTAAAAATAATCTGCAAAACAGAGAAGGCTGTGTGAGAAAATCACCGATCTCTGCCTTGAATCGGAAGAAACCAGGTCCAATCACCTCACTTTTGCAATCATATAAAGCATCTACAACCTGCAAAAATTCCACGCCCCTCGAATTTTTCAAAGATAAATATGAATGCAGTGGATTTCAAGTTATATAGTAGTGTAGTAGAGTAATACCGGGTCATTCTTCAAGAAATGGAGAACCTTCTGCATATCATGTTCATCAATTGCTCTCCCTATCAAGGCATGCCGGTTCCGCTGGATGAGAAATATGGCAACCTGCATTAGTAATAGACTTCAATTAGACATACCACAAACCAAAAAATGCTTGAAATTATTACAATAACCCAGCCTAGGACTCTTAACTGGATTCTACCCACATAAGTCCACCCTCCCTCCCTCCCTCTTTCTCCCACTCTTTAACACACTCACATGTGCAAATGCACAATGTCTTCTCTCAAAGGCAATCTGTCCAAAATGACTAAACATTCCCTGAAATTATCTCCAAGCTATTGCCAAATAGTCATTGCATTCGACACCAACTCAGGTTTTCCACTTTCACAATGCCAAATTCCATGCATCCCCACACATATCTTTTGCCCTCAATTAATTCTGAGGATAGATAAAATCAATTTTAAAAAAGAAAACAATGAAGAAAAGATGGTCCTTTTGCAAATAAAGTTCTATATTACACTTAATCCGAAAAAAAAGAAACAGCTAAAATTAAGAAAATAATTAATTGTCATTCCACATTTATCTTATCATTGCACTCTTGGGTATTACAAGACTATATGTGAAAACAAAATTGACAACATAGGAGCCCAATGCCAGGCAAAACACAGCCACACATGTATATTTTCGTACATATTAATCATCCATTAATCTTATTTCAGTAGCCTAAATCTTAATCAAATCATTTCATGATTCATCTTTCACAATTTCATCTCATTAAATGAGAATTTACAAAAGCCAGAGTTGTTAAATCCATTAAAGCACACAACAGTCTTATCTATTTTATATAATCGAAAAACTTTTGCAAATACTTCTACCAAATTATCCATTTCATAGAGGACTTTCCAGCCAAACATAAAACTGCAATTATGGTCATGCATTTTTTTTTCTGCATTCCTAAATATGGCATAAATCACAAATCAAATCCTATGTATCACCTTGCCAGAAAATAATTTGCCTAAATTCTTGGTCTTATCCTCTCCCTTCATACTTGATAGCACGATGCTCAAGCACACCCTAGTTCTCACTAAAAATTCATAAAAGGCAGCATAGTACATTTTCTTAGCAACCCATGAAACACTCTAATTAATCTGAAGCATATCACCTTAAAATCCAAATAGAATGGTCAACAAAGCTGTGAATATATACTTAATTCAAGAGATGCCAAGCTTCTAGTTCAGACCAAACGATACTTATGAACTATGAAATAGTAACAAATATTATCCTGCATGTTCAGAGTTTGCTTGTAAATAACAAGCAGTATTTGTTGATGTTCTATAAGATGTAAATAATTCAGGGGCAAGAAGTATTACATACCATTCCAAGAAGGTTACCGACTATAATGGAGCCTATGGGATCATAAATTCCATTCCCAGTTATATTCACTGCAACCAGCGATGCTGCGGCTATAGCAAGACCAGTTACTGCAGCACCATCCTGCGATAGTTGACATAATCTACTGTGAAGCAATTCAATAAACAAACTGCAGTACGTAGGACAAATTGCAGCAATCATTATGGTTCTTATAACTTTTTTTATAATTGAATCAAAGAGAAAATCGGTTCATATAAGCATGTGCACACACACTATAACTACACAAGTCAGAAAATAAAGGGAATGTGGGAAAAGATAAAGCATAGAGGTAATGCAGTCAAAACCATCCTTGATTTGGGCAGAAAAGAGGATGAAGAAACGAAGCCAGGAAACAAGCACAAGACAAGCATATCAACAATTTAAGCAACAGATTTTCAATTAGACATCCAGTTGACATTAATTTACCTTCAGATCCTTTAAACTCAAGCAAACCCTTAAATGTTTTGGAGCAAGGGGCGAACAATTCATCAATCACTATACCAGGACTGTCCAATTAAGCTAAAAAACCCTTAAATATCAAGCATGAGATTTAAACCTAATGGGGCCAGAATGCAGAGCACTAGGAATATAATAATTAAAAACTATAGAATTCTTCTTATGAAAATGCAAAATTATTTAGTTTTTATGTAATTTTCATTCTTCTACTGTATGCCAGTTTAGCTCGGTTAAAGAATGGATCCAGCGAAGGAATTTATAAATAATTCTTCTCATCTAAGGCTGCTTGTTAAATTAACCACGGCATGTACACCTACATTTACACTATGACCCACCAACGATTGACAGTAAGATTACTTATTAAGCCTTTTAAATTGCTTTGCTGAAAAAGCCAAGTTGTACACGTTCTTCTGCACATTGCATCATTAGACTAATAAAATATTTCTCATCTTCCAAAGGATACTGTTCAATCAAAATAAGAACAGGGAAAACTCCAATAAAATTATTCAACCAGCTCACCTGCACATACAATACCAAACATTCCATAAATCCCACAAATGCTGCAGTATTTCTTAGTAGTGCAAAATGTGCCTGCACCAGGGAATGTGCACCCCTGGCTAAGCGAATGTGCAACATAGCTGGAGATTAGTGCTAGTGCTTCCTTTCTCTTCTTTATTTTTATTTTTACCCTTGCAAGGCTGAAGGGTGAAACATATAAAATTAAATGCTTAAATTAATTAATGCTATAAATTGCAATGAATTACATAGGTCTACATTAGATTCTTGTCCTAACTAAATAAGAAGATATATCCATAACTTTAACTCACTTGGTTCAAATATAAGAACTCTACAATGCAATAAGCTAAACTAAAACATTATTTCAAGAAATTATATCATCTCCAATCTTACTGCTACAGAAACTGAATATCTGAAATTCATTATCACTCTTTAAATGCTGTTCCAAACTTCTCACCTTCACATTTAACAAGTTCAATTCCAAAACAATAAAAAGCGCACAAAGGCATAGTGAAGTACCTCTGTCATGACTGCAACAGACGTAGGATCATGGCCACGCCAAACATAGTCTCTCACTTTCATTCCTTCTGCTGCTGCACCTTTCTTGACAGCTTGTATGGCAACAACAAGAGAAGCACCTAAAGAGAAGATAATAGTTTGAAGAGGGAAACCTAAGGATGAATGGCTTAAGCTAAATGCAAATTTTCGGACAACATAATAACCCACAATCGTAGCTCTCAAAGTTATACCTTCAATCATAAATGAACCACCTATCACCAAAGCTGCATATTCAATATTAGCTGGGGGCTGAAGAAGACACAGAACATAATAAGCAGCCATTTGTCAAAGCAATAGCTAGAAAACAGGAATATAAAATGACATCATCAATTACATGTGATGTCCACAGGTTTTGAACTCCATGAACAATTGTAGCGCCAGAGCCGAGACAGAATATGCCAACAGCAGATATCAAGGACCAAACAAATCTTTCCTTGGAATAGCCATAACTGACAATAAAAACAGAAAAGGTTTCAGCATATCATTAAAAAATATCAACATGCATCTTTTGTTTACAAATAATTCTGCGCATGTAACAAATTATAAGAATAGGCCAATATAAAAGCTCATCTAATTAATTTGCAACACAATATACGATATTAGAAATATAATTTCTTACCTTTCTACTCTTGTTTGGAACAGCAACCAATTAAATTTATATACTTGAGTTCTTAAAAATCAAGTGATGATAGTGTCAAGCTGGAATTTCAAAAATAAATAAATAGATAAATTTATTTATTTAATGGCATAGTTATTATTATCGTACGATACACGATACGCATCGTACGATACGATATTAGTAGAAAACAATACGTATATATAGTTGTATCACATTTGATCAAGTATCAAAGTGTTTCGTAAGATACCCTGTACGTATCTTATGATACAGGGGCGTATCATACGAAACAATTGATACACTTTTTAGAAGCTTATATTTAATTAATTATTAAAAATTTTAATTAGTTGTTTTTTTTAAGTTAGAACACGAAAAATTATATTTTATGAGTGTCAATTTTTAGATTTTAAATAAAAAATACTAAAAAAATTGAATTCCCTTTTAATTTTAACATGATAAACGTTTTTTAATTTTTAATTAATAAATTAATATGATAAAATGTATATTTTATTTAAAAATCTATATTATTAAAGAATATACTGAAATTTTAAATTAAAAAAATAATTATCTTTTCAATTTACATCCTATAATCTTCATTTCAATTAAAATATAAAATATTTTTCAATTTTTTTCTTTATTTTACATATATAAATCTTATTTATAATTAATTTTAAAATTTGTTACCGTATCTTATGATATGATACTCAATACTAAAAAATGAAATTTCGATACACGATACATATCTCGATTTAACAACTATGTTTAAAGGAAATTTTCAAGAATTAGGCAACCAAACTATGCAAAGGCACATCAAATATCCACTAATGATCCAATACTGGAAAATCACAGCAGCAGGTAACCAAGTTATTATGATTAGCAAAGGCTGTTTGCATCATGGAAAAGAGACTTACGGATGCATAGCATCTGGTGCACGCCTTGAACTACTAAGACCATAAGCAAGCAGCGCCTACAATGTCAACATGGATTAGTTTCTCTGCATTCCATAATCAGTAAATTTAGTTATAAAGAAAAAAATCAGTATCAAGGGATTAAATCTAGCCTGATGATGACAATGATATCAAGAAAGAAAGACAGAGATTTAACTACCTGATTAGCAAAATCAGCAATCGAATGAACCATCTCAGCTAACATAACATGACTAGAAGTAGCTAACCAGACCCCAAACTTGAGAGAAAAGACAAGGAAGTTGCACCATAAAGCAGTAGTAACAGCTCGTTGACTAGAGGGTCAAAGAATTAAGGCAAACAACAAAAGAAAAAAGATTATAAGCTGAGATTTAGTGGCTAATCAATTGGAACATAAGCATTCAGGAAAGCATGGGATGGAAACAAAAAAAAGCACAAGCTACTTATAATGAAATAGAGGTGAGTAATTTGATTTTTTTTTCCAATTTTAAGTACACTAAATTAAATTGGTTGCAACTATAAGTGTGTTGAGAAAATATATTTCCGCTGCTAAAAATTAAAATTGCAATTCTTTTGGGAATTGGGGAACAAACTACAAAATGTCACTTTCATATAATGCAATCATTTACTTTAATACACAAGCTTTTAAAAGACCAACTACATTTACAAACATACACTTAAAACCCATAAATTAACAGAAGATTGAAAAAAGCAAAAAAAAAAAAAAAAAAAAAAAAAAACAACAAGCTACCTGTGCTGATCATTGATTTCAATCTTCTTTATTTGTTTAGCCCTTGTAAAAAAGCCTGCAAAAACAGCCACATTCATTTCAAAACAATTTCCAAAGAAAAAGAAATTACACATCTTTAGATAAAAGATAGTTCTACTTACTTCGATGGGAAGAGTAAAATTGTCTATGATGCTGATAAATGATGGGATCATTCTCGGGCAATACAAAACCCAGCAAAACGAAACGTCTCGAACTATTCACCGAGGAAAAACCTCTGGCTGGTCCGATATTTGTATAAGATCTAAATTGAAAAAAGTCCTGATTGTGGGGTATCAAACTGGGTTCCAAAAAAACTACCTGGGAGAGATTGTTAAACGATGAGTTGATAATGACGGAGGAAGAAGAGTGCTTCGAGGACCCAAGGAGGCGAGAAACGACACGACACGCCGTTTGCATTTACTAGGATTGGAACTTTCCAGGAGAGTTGAAGTTGAAGGGAGGAGCCCTATCTGTGTTTTTCTACGTCAAAGATAAACCCATTTTGGGGGTTTAGGGTTTAAAGAATGGGAAAGTGGTGAAAGGGGTCTTCTGGCTGAAGCAAGGTAAGGTTAGAGAATGGAGATAAAAGAATAGATGCTTCGACGCTTTATTTACAGAAGCATGATATCCCTCTCTTCTCTTGCTTGAATTGACAGCAGCAGCTACTTCTTTGAGTAAAGAGAAGCAGCTGGAAAAGTGAGATTCCTAAATGAAAATGGGAGAAAATAAAAACGCACACAGACTGCAAAGCAAATAAACGCAGTAGCAGTACAATTTTATTCTTCTGCATTTCCATATCCTTTTTCAAATTGAATGTCCATTTATTTTAGAATAATTAATAATAATAATATTTACTTTTGCAAATTGAAAAATATTTTCAATATTTTTTTATTGAAATACTAATTTTAGATGAAATCCTTTAATTTTTGTATAATTTTAAAAATAAACTTCATAAAATAATGAGCAAAATATTTTATTTCTTAATTTTTGTCTCATTAGATATTTAATTTAAAACAAAAATTAATTTTTATTATGTCTATTTTTATTATTAGTACTTTTTTTAAGGGTGTGCACTCTATGACTTGTAAGGAATGACTTGTGACATATGTCTTGGAACTCTTGACCCTTTTGGCTCTCATTTGTGACAATTTCATTCTCATTGACCTTGATCTCTCCCGAATCATGCCATATTTCATTATCGTTGTTCTCCCTAATGCAGCATGATATTGACCAATCTTAGTGCTCTCCTAAGCTCCATTTGGAGGCATTACTTGCCACTACACTAACCCTTTCCTCGATCTGGGCCACTTGATGGATCTATTTTTTGCGATGCAACACTAGGCTTCTTAATTGTGATTGTTCCCTAAGTCCTACACATCGGTCCCCACCTTTGTTGCCTAGATCCTCCTCATTCAATAGGATAACCATGAGCTTGTTATGCTTGGGACAATACCTCGTCGAGTGTGGTCCCTCGTACAGGAAACATTTGACGGGTTTCCTTTTCTCATCTTTCCCTTTGGCAACTACCTTGGCCCAATGGCGTATTTGTTTCCTTTGAACTATTATCCCTCTTCCCCCTAGGCTACCTTTCTCCTTAAGTTGAGATGAGTAGAACTCGGACCTTTGGCCACTGGAGTAATGCACGTAAGGTCTTGCACACCTCTACATTGAAGCTCTTGCTTTGCTCATGGCTTCAACTTATCCATGAATGTAAATAAAGCCTCTTACTCACTCAAGTCCCTTACTTGCAATATTGAATTGGAAAATTTCTTCACATACTCCTACACTTCATCCCTTTAAACTAGCCTTTATAACTCCCCCATTACCTCGTCCTTGACATATATGGGGTGGAATTATTGTTGAAGTTGCCTTTAGCATGCTTCCAAAGTGCCAATGATTACTTACATGAGCTTGTCATCGCATTTTTTAAATTTAAAATTATTGTAGTTTTGATTATGACAAAATAATCAAATTTGCTTGAACATTATTTAAGTGATTCTCGATAAGTTTTTGAGATAATCTAACTCTCATGCATTTGTTCTTATATAATTATAAGCTTGTATGATTTAGTTGTGTGAGTTTATGATCCCTCTAACATTTATCCTTGAGATGCTAAAATTGCAAGTTAAGTTCACAAGTGGAGCTTATCTCAAAGCATTCAAAGATCATCAATTTACACTACACCAAGCTTGCTTCAAAGTCAAGAAATGCAATCATCATTCAACATTTGATCACAATGAAGATATGGCCAAAGTTAAATGCTAAAATGTCAAGGAACCTTGAAGAAACAAAGTTCCAATAGATCCTAGAGTAAGGCAAGTCAATCTTATGACAAAATGGGCAAAAACAAACAAGGAACCTTGAAAAACACATAGCCATAGTCAACCTTATGGCAAGACTAATGAAAAATCATGAAGAAATGAAAGCTATAGTCTACCCTGACAAAGCTATAGTCTACTTCTAAACTATGATGTCAAAAAAACAAGCTTTCTGCTCGTGGATCGACTAGAGAACTTATATACTCGACTATAAATGATTGTTAGACACAAAATTGAAAAGAAAAATGACCAATTTCTTGTTTTAATCACCTTCAACTACTCCAAGACTTCTTTAACTATAAAAAGGACCATTTGGAAGCATTTCAAAGTAGAAAGAAGAAAGAAAAAGGGTCAAATTCTTGAAGATTCTAGTCTTGAAAAGAAAAATGAGAAAACCAGGCAAAACTAAGCATACTTGAGCTAAACCTTTTTTGTGCTTACACTCTAATCTTTATATCTAATCTTTTTATCCATTGTTAGGCATTCTTCCTCCATTGTACTAAACTATCAAAATCCACCTTTTAAAGGGACTCTTACTATTTTTTGTAAAAGTTTTAAGTTAGCCTTGAAAATTTAGTTTATGGGTTGTGTTTGCTTCCAATTAAAGGTCTTGTAAGGGTTATCGCTTGATCCCATTAAAAAGCAAGAATCCTTTAGTGGATTGTGTAAGGGTTATTACTTGATCTTGTTAAAAAAGCAAAAAATCCCTTTTGTGAATTGTGTAAGGGTTATCGTTTGATTTTGTTAAAAAGTAAGAATTCTTTTAGTGGATTGAAAATTCTTTGGTGAGCCAAGGGAGTAGATGTAAGGATTTGAGAAAGCCGAACCACTATAAAATCCTTGTCTCTTTATTTACTTTTGTGCATTGTGATTTATTTTTCAAAACTTGCTTTAGAAAAATCATTTACTTTGTTTTGGACACTAATAAAAAATCTTTTTTTGAAAAAGGTTTGATTTTTACTTAATGTCACCATTTTTATTTTTGTTTTAATTTGATGCATTACATTTCAAGAAATTCCATTTCAAAATTTCTTATGCTTTAATTTTCAATCTTCATATATTGGTTTGGTTTTTTGCCAAATCCTTGTCAACTATCATCACTTGCTCATTTCTTGCTTGATTTCATTTGAAAAATGTTTTAAGCATCTCACAATTGATCATTTGCTTGCATTTAATTTAGTAGTTTTACTAAAGATTTATGTATGCATCAAAACCCTTTTTAAAACCTCTTCTACAAGCTTTGAAAATGATTTACTGGTCAAGGGTCGACTATAAGATTAGCAGCATGCTTGGTTCACTAGAAGAAACTAAATGGGAATAGAATAGCTGTTCCATGGGAATAGAATAAGGTAAAAATAACTATTATGTAAATTAGGTCATGGGAATAGAATAGGATAAAAATTGCTATTATTACTTATTCCATTATTTAGTTGGCAGGAATAATTTTAAGAATAGTTCAAGATTAATGGGTCAATGATAAAAGTACCCTTTATTAAAATTTAAAAATTTTTTAATTAAAAAACAAAAATACTATGATGAGAAAAAAATACTCTTTATTAAAATTAAAGAATTTATTTTGTTAAAAGATAAAAATATTCTAAGTAATATAATCAAAATAACTTTTACTATAATTAAATAATATTTTCATCAAAATACAAATATATTTTTATTATATTTAATAGTATTTTGTATTAAAAGATAATTAAACCTTTTATTATAATTAAATAATATTTAATATTAAAAGACAAAATATATTCTTCATTAAATTTAAATAATACTCAATAATATTCTTTATAATGTTTATTATAGTTAAATAATATTAATATATTAA